AAGAATTTGGCCTTACAATGTTCCATATGTTGTCTTTACTTCTGGGTTTTTTCACACATGTACACTTGTGAACTGCATGATCTCCTTTCCACAGGTTTCTCTCCGTAGGTCTGCATTTCAACCACGATGGAAGCTGAGAGGTTGCTCTGATGGTGTGTTAATTCTATAAACATGTTTTTCCTTTCCCCAGCATACGCATCAGCCCTCACGGAGTCCACTGCACCTGCCCCGCTTAGCAGATCGGCCAAAAGATTCAACGGTTCAAGATCAAAAGATCTTTATGAATGAAGGCAAAGCCAGATCAGTCCAACAATTAATATTATCCTGGGCCAAAGACATCCTCAGTCACATTTGTCTATTTGGAACTTATCTAAACAACATCTGGTAAACAAATATGTCTCAGCCAACACAGTGCAAGAAAGTATTTGTTCTGTCACCGTACTCGGTGTGTATTTTCATGTGGAGCCAGCGGATGTTCATTTAAATGTGTTCTATTATTGACAAAATAGCACAGTTCAACAGAGCGATCGAGTTCAAAGTGGCTGGAGGGCGCCTTTAAATATTACAACACAGAACAACAAAATCCCAACAATACGCACAGACCGAGGACTTTAGGCAGCTTGTTGGAGGTCGGCAGTGAGATCTGACCTCAGTCTGACACGGTGCTAATTAATATTTAATGTACATTGAGGGTTCAAATCCTGATGAGTGGGGTTTCTTCCTATAATTAGTGGTGCAAAATACTATTAAACAACTTCATTTATTTGAAACTAACACAGGATGAAAACAGTTGAAATCCCTTCAGAGCCACTTCTTTATGAAACTGGCCGGTCCAGGTTCAGGTCCAGGTTGTTGCTTCAGGAGAGGGTTTTTTTAGGTTTTCTGATGAAACACCTGTGCAGGAGCTGGAGCCTGAACTAGCTGATCACTGTCAGCTGGGCTGCAACAGGAAGTGACGTCACATGTCGACGAGTATAAAGGAACGAGCAGGAGAGTTTGTTCCTGTGAACAGAGCTGATCTGTGTTCAGAGCATCGAGGCCTCACACCAAACAGACGAGAACTCACAGACAGAGTGCATGATGGGACTGAAGACGCTGCTGCTCGTCTCTCTGCTCGGCGTTCTGGGTAAAAGTTTCTTCTTCTTTAACACGGTTTAATGTTGGAAAGGGCCACGCTGGATTCCTCCTTTTCCAAACTTCCCTGACTGAAATACTTGATGATTTTCTGAACTGTTATGGTTTAATCTTTAAAGCAGCTAACTCTGTCAGAGAAATGTACTGTAGTAGAAAGTGGTAAAGTACAAACTCAGACGTCCTGCAGACTAAACTCTATCAGCACAAACTCTAGTGAAGCGAGTGTTGAAGACAAGCGCCACTCTAAGGTCAGAGGTGATGGTCTTCCTCTCCCCCTGCAGCGCTGGAGGTGTTGGCGGGCCGCAGAGTTGGAGGTGTGACCAACATCAACAAGGACGACCCCGACCTCCAGAAGGCCCTCCTCGTCGCCACCAACTACTACAACACCCAATCAAAAGACCCCTTCCTCTACAAAATCTCCTCCATCAGCAAGGCACGGAGTCAGGTACGACACAGGAAAGGTTTCATGTGCACTCTGTGGGGTCAAAGGTTTCCTCTAAACGTGTAGCTGAATCCATGATATCATTTATCAGTTGATTCCGATTTTCTGTTATCGGAAGGAGGCGAACAACGTAATCAACTAAAGTTCTCAATGTAGCGGAGTAAAAGGTTTGCTCCTGATGGTCGAGCCAGCTGAGTGTTAGTGAATGAGAGACAAATTCTAAAGCACTGTGTGACTGCAGCCATCAGCAGTTACCCAGGTGAAGTACAAGTACCTCACACTTCTACTTAAGTACAGTACTTAGTGACTCTGCTGTCTCGTGTGTTTGTGGTTCAGGTTGTTGAAGGGACTTTGTACATCGTGGATTTGGTGATTTCCAGGACCGTCTGCCGTAAACCCCCCAGCGTCCAAAATCTGTCCAAATGCAACTTTCAGGCTCCTCGCAAGGTGAGTCTGAACTGGTTCATATTACTGACCAGTCCAACAGGAGGAAGGCCAGCTCGCTGTCTGTCCAGCAGCCTCTTGTTTGGTCACTCTCTTTTTCTCCGTTCATGTTCTCTTCTGTCTCTTGCGTGCAAGATTTAAAGGTCTTTTATTAATGTGGGAAAAATCCACTTCCTGTTGTGTTTTCCAGACGCTTCAGTGTCACGTTGAGGTTTTGGTGGTTCCCTGGCAGAAAAAGACCAGGACTCTGGAGTTCAGCTGTAAAGCCTGAAACCAGCAGCTGCCTCATCCCTGATGGTGTAGTTACCTCCACCTGTCTGCTCCTCAAATTTATTGTAAAATCTGCAATAATAAAAACACTACAAACCAATGGTACATTATGAGACAGTTTCATTCATTTACTGATGTGTTAATATTGGTGTTTAAATGAATGGAGCTCTATACGGTCGTCTAATTTAAGGGTTCTTCAAGATGTAAACACGGCAAATAATAGAGGCGTCCTTCCTTGAAGGAACAAGGTGTAGCTTTCCGCAGCCTCTAGTGGTGAGGTTACAGACTGCAAACAAGACCTTTCCAAGCTGGACCTCATGAGCCAAGAGTCTGACACAGCTTCACACTACATGCTGGTAAACTCCCACTGCAGTGCTACAGTAATATCTTTATGAGCTGGATGTTGACCTGATCCATCCAAACATGGAAGGAGCAACGACAAGAGAAAGTTGACCTGTCATTCAGTCAGGACCACTTTCTTTAGATGTACTGCAGTAAGGTCTCCCTGCGTACCTGGGTTGTTGGCGTTACTGTTGCCTGCACTACGACGGGAGTTCAGCCAGCTCAGGGTAAACGGTCTGCTACACTGGAGTTAAACTACGAAGGTGGCTCAGAGGTTGTTTGAGGCAGTGTTCTTGGGGGTGTTTTTTTTTTTTTTTTTTTTTTTTCCCTCTCCAGAGGAAGCACGTTGGCAGTGTCAGCTGCACATGAGGTCCACTGTAACAGAAGGAGAGGGGGAATAATCCCAGACACAATTTCATCTCCGAGTAAGAAACTTGAATATTCTCTGACATCAAACTTCACTCTGCAAGGCTGCAACATCGCACACACGTCTGCCGTGTATTATGCACGCACTGGAAAGTCAGATTCAGCGGTGAGTTTAGCCCACAGTCACTATCCTGCCCCTCAGAGACTTTGCCTCGGATCATTCGGAAGAAAACGGAGGGAAATTTCCAATTTTTCTAGGATTGTTTTCCTGGGTTATTAAGCCCGAGCCCGGCTCCACACGTAAAATAGTAATCTATCTACATATGTGAAAACACTCAGTTACAGCAGGGCTCGCTGTCTGAACGCCTCAGTGGAACAAATCAGGATGAAATCTAAACGTGTTTTATGAAGCGGTGTGGATGAATACTTCTCATCAGTAACACTGAGTACAGATGTGTAGTCCACGTGCAGGAGAACCTCCAGTTAATGTGATGGAAATTTGATATTTACTGTGTTTACTGTTTCACCCTGCATGCTTCATCAGAATAGACCAGTGTTTCACTGTGTGGTATTTGATTATTTTATTTTGTTACAGCTAGGTGAAGTTTCCCATGGGAAAGATGCTCGTTAGAGAGTTTTCTTATCAGACTGTCCTTGATAGGCCTTCATCTCCGGACAGCTGGTCCCTCCTCCCTTCCTCCCTTGGATAGCTGCGTAATACCCTTACAGTATAAAGTCACCTGCTTCTTCACTGGCTCTTTGTCTTACACTCTGCAGACTGTTTTGCACTCTGTAAGTTTGTCTGACCCTTTGCAAAGAATAAAACCCTTAAAAGACATCTGGATTGGACTCTTTATTTCACTGGTCACTAAAGGACAAATTTTCATTACATTTGGTGTCAGAAGTGGGATGGTTTGGCAAAGTTTGTCTGGGACCTGAGACGTCCGGCGACTGATCAGCCTGGAGCAAAGTGTCTCAGCCTCCATTACCATCTCAAAAGGAGTTGGACCTATGTTGTCCTTAAAAACGGTGAGTGTCTGAAATAAACTACAAAATTGCATTTGTGTTTTATTTTTTTTGTTTTTCTTGGTTTTTTAGACTTTCAGCTTAGATTGCTTTTTTGATTGTACCATCTCACACGTGGATCCTTAGTTAGCAGGGCCGAGCAGAATTACAAGCAAGTTTTTCTTCGCTGTTAAATGGTTGAGCAGGTCTGTGTAGAACACGAGTTTCTCCGCTGCTAACCATCTGGGGCTTCGAACAGGGCCGTGTAGAAACAAGGTATTTCTCAGCTGTTCTAACCATTTCGTGGTTTGAGCAGGGCCGTGCAGAAATAAATTTCTCTCCGCTGTTTTAATTCCTTTTGGGGTTTAAACAGGGCTGTGCAAAAAAAACCAAAACAAACAAAAAAGTACAACAAGAGGAGCAATAAAAAATATAGGGTTAACCCAGTTACAACAGGTAGAAAAGTGATTTTTTTTTTTAAGGGTAAAAAGTGTCATTTTAAACATAAGTGTAACACAGATGAAATGATCTAGGTTTAAAAATAGGAAAAGCCTATAAAAATCTGAATGAGAGTGATTTTATTTTTGAAATGCAACTTGAGAGATTATCTAAGGATTTTAAAGGGTTAAAATTCAGTTACCAGGACAAAATAGACCGACAGGTTAGTTTGGCCAATCAGCTGACAGCAGGTAGGCCCGCCCACCTGCTCCCGCGTCTCTGGGAGCGAGCGAAAGTTTTTTCCCGCTGCTGTGTGGAGACAGAAGTGCTGCTGTAGAGGATGAAACCTGGAGAAAATACAGCTAAAAACGAACTACACTGAGGCTAACTTCAACACTACAAACGTGGTAGCTAACTGCTGTGAGAGTTTAGTTGTAAGTTCAGTGTTTAGATGTAGCGCTTGAGAGACTAGCAGCGTCGGTAGCTTTGATGTCCGTAGGATTTCCCGCGACGCGCAGTCTTTGCTGATTCAAGAGCGAGGTAATTCATTTAAAACTGCTTTTGTTCATTCTTTATCACCTTACTGTGAAAGCTAATTTATTTTGCACTGAGAGAAAGTACTGAAAGTCGCATACGGTCTCGTATGTTTCGGTTTTAGAAGACCTTGTGGCTTTACTGGGCGCCGCCATTTTGGGTGTGTGTGTCCAGCCGCTCTGGTGAAATCGGTGATGAATGTTCATTTTCTACTTAAGAATTTCACTTACTTTGTACCTTAAATTATTTATGTGCACTTAGTGAATATGAAGCTACAATTTTAGTTGAACAAGCTGGTTTACTGTGTTGTTTAATGTGTAAACTCAGCTTACTTTATTTTGCACTTGCATCAAAACTTTAATTGTTCTAACTTGCAGCTTATTGGTGCAGCTTATCTGGTTGTGTGCAGCCAAGTTATTTATGTTTATATGCTGAATATTGAGAGAGAGGCACAGAAAGTAAACACCCACAGTATGTATATCATTGTGTATTGTGAATTTCATGTAGTGTATATTATTGCATGAAGCTTAAGCAGTGAATATTTCTCTGACCCTGTCTGCTGACAGGTCAGGTTTTTTTTTGTGTGTGCGTGTTTCTTCTTCCATTGTCTGGATTGGATCTGCGGATGAAAATTGATGGCGAGCCGTCCCTCTTGAATGATCGTGGGAGCCATTCCCTCTTCAGGATCACTGGATCTGTCCCGCTACTACTGCACTTTGCGGTGTGGTAGGTCCCACTACAACACACAACCCCTTCACTCACCTTCACACTCCTTCCCCCACACACATACATACACCAACCCTATGGAACTCTGAACTCTGACTTACCTTCGACACATCCATTTTTTTGTTTGGACTTTGGACTCACTTAAACAAACTCACCTGTTCACACCTTGGGACTGAGAATGTGGAGCTGAGTAGTAGGAATCATTCCTGCAGTTAAGGGTTACTGTTGTGCTGTGTGAATTCTACTGGATTGTATTATTGAACTGGATCTGAACAAACTTTGTGGTGTTATTAACAGAAATTCAGGTTAAATGGTGCACCGGGAATTTGATGATAGAACTACCTCAAAGAGTGAAATACTCACTTTAAATTTGGAAAGCAAGCATTTCATGCTGATGTCATAGCCTGATTGTGATATCAATAATTGCCTTGTTCATTACTTGTTTTATTATTGTACTTTTTCATTTTTGGAACCAACCAATAATTTTATTTTTATACATATCTTCAAATATAAGAAGCCGGCACCATCTTACGTCTAATCCTTGGTCTCTGAGCCGAACCAACCGACTTAACCAACCAATCAGATCACGGCCCTACCCATAATCCTTCCTGTGTGCTACATAAGCATTGGAAAGCATCGTCCGTGTGGAAGGCAGGATCATAAAGTAAGACAAGGCAAAGGAAGTATGCCAAATAAATGCCTCACAATGAGGGTGAAGGAAAATGTGAAACAAAGAGAGACATACCATTAGAGATGAGAGGTTATGTGTTGGAGTAAAAACTGGTAAACTGAGTGGAAAACAGCTCCTAAAATCCTTCTGCCAGTTGTAAAATATATGACTGAAAAAGAGAAAACATCTATGGGACAATTTGATAAGTAGGTTGAAATGTGTTAAATGTAAGTTTTAGTACAAAAATATATATATTTGGAGCAGCTAAAGACATGTTTGAAGAGAAAGAAAAGGAGAGATGCAGAAGAGCAGGCAGCCTTGTCCAGAGGAAAAACAAAAAAAATCTACCATTTAAGGCAGATTGCTAAATAAACTAGAATTCAGGGAAAGTGTAAAGACTTAAAACAGAACATTTGACTAGATAAAATAAGGATAAAAGGAAATTTGACACCATAAGAACAAACTAACACATTATCTCTTCTTTAACTGAGGTACACAAGTCATGGAATCCATTCCGGCTGATCCAGTCCTGGACTCCGCTCCTCCTCCTCCAATACGCTCCAGTCCCAGATCCATCCAAGGATGAAGACTACGCTGATGTTAAAACTGCTGCTGAAACACGACACCATAAGCAGAGAGAGATGATGAACTAATGCAACATTAAAGAGCTACAGAAGCACTGTTCTGCTCTGGTAACAGTAATGCAACACATCGTATTGCCCAGTCATGGAAATGCCAATTATAAAAGGAATATTTGGTATTTGGAACATTGTTGAAGCGACGGGTCACGTGACAGCCTCACATGCAATTGGAGCAGTTTGGAGCGTTTATCAAAGGATGCCATAATGACAGAATGGACTCAGTACAGCGATGTCATCATTGGATGATTGCAGGCCAATCACAACAACATGTTTGCATTCAAGAACAGATCATGTAGAGCTCTCCAAGTTCACATGATCATCACCTTATGGTTACAGCGGTCTGAAATAAAGTTCATCGGAAAAGAACATGTTCTGAGCCGGACAAGGCCAGAAACTGCTGTTGGAACAAAGATGCCGAATTTCACAGCGTCTTACGGACAGACGAGAGAACCTGCAAGCTGAAGATTTACACAAAGAGGACAAAAGTGAGAAAATAGCCATCAAAAACTCTGTTCTGAGCCGTCACAGTACAGTGGACAAAAGTGGACATTGGTACACAGAGATTGTCTGGGCAGATCCAAATGGACTGAGCTGGAGGGGGCGGGACAGACACCAGTGACAGGAAACAGCTGGGACACACACACCAGGTGAGTCACACAATTTCTCATAGAAAAATAAAATCTTACACACATTGAAGCAAAAAAAACAAAAATCCATCCATTGTCAACTGCTTATCCTGCGTACAGGGTTGCGGGGGGGCTGGAGCCAATCCCAGCTGACATCGGGCGCAAGGCGGGGTACACCCTGGACAGGTCGCCAGTCCATCGCAGGGCCACACATAGACAAACAACCACTCACGCTCACACCTGAGGACAATTTAGGGTCACCAATCAACCAAGGCCGCATGTCTTTGGATGGTGTGAGGAAGCCGGAGCAATCGAAGAGAACCCACGCGGACACGGGGAGAACATGCAAACTTCACACCTTAACCACAAAGAGTTTTAGAAACTGTAATTTAAACCTAGCAGGGGACAATGCTGCTACATGATATGTTGAAAACAGCCCCAGAGAGGGGCAGGTTGCATATATGGTATCATGTTAATGAATTTTGATGTAGTATTAAACACTTATTTCAGTTATCAGAGCACTAATGAGTGACCCCCACTGCACACACACACACAAACACACACACTCACACTCACACAGACCTTTAGGTACATGCAGAGACTTTGGCCATCAGCTCTGTTTACTCTGCAGGTTTCACTCAAGTCCACAGTGGAAAAAGTGCTGAGAGTCCCTGAACGCATCATGACTGCAGAGACAGAGATATTCACTGCTCACTGTAATGATGGATTTACTGCTGTTAGGGCTCAAAGCTGTTAAAAAACCAGCCGATCAGTCACATTAGAAGATTTCAGCTACTTTGGAAATATTACAGGACAAATCTGTAAATATGGAATCTGTCCTAAAAACATCTGGACCATATATATGATGTTAAAGGTCTTACATGTTGCTCCGACTGGTTGCTCAGTAGGGGCGGACGGACGTTGCTGACGTAAGCGTGACGACTCATTTCAATTTCCGGTGCTTGTGTGTTGGTACCGTCTTGTGCTGCTCTCGCTAAATACCAGTTAAATTTGTTAGATTACAGCGGCCAACTGTCCGCTAAACACTTATTCTTACAGTAAATTTGCCAAAGCACTCACAGTTCTTTCCATCCTCCTCCTTTAGCGGTAATGGTACATGTAATAAGTGTAGTTTATTTGTAGACATGGAGGCGAGGCTCAGTGATTTAGAAGTCCAGCTCCGCACCTTGGTAGATCAGTCTTTAGCTACTGTAGCTAGCCAGTCCCCGGTAGTCGGTGCTGAACGGCCTGAGTTAGCCTCTGGTAGCCGTCCTCCGGCATCTCCTGAGCAGCCGGGAAGGGGTGGCTGGGTGACTGTCCGAAGGAGGAATAGTCGTAAGCATTCAAACTCCACGGGGCATCATCAACCTGTTCACGTTTCTAACAGATTTTCCCCACTCAGAGACACACCCGCTGAGAAACCAACTCTGATCATTGGCAGCTCCATTTTGAGAAATTGGCAAACTCTTTGCTGATCATTGGCAGACTTTCTGGGGAAGACCTGGTCTGATCCGGAGAGACGGCATCCATCCCACTTGGGAAGGAGCAGCTCTCATTTCCAGAAATCTGGCCAAGTTTATTAGTGGACCAAATCCATGACAACCCAGAGTTGAGACCAGGAGGCAGAGTCGCAGTTTAACACACTTCTCTGCTCCTCCATTTCAGGAGTTACTTTAAATTAAACAGAAGAGGAGCTGTGCATAAAAACCTCATAAAAATTAAAACCACAAGAGCAATAGTGCAAACTAATAGGAGAGTTAAATGTGGACTCTTAAACATCAGATCTCTCTCTTCTAAAGGTGTACTAGTAAATTTTTTTTCTTGGTTGCATTTCTGTGAATTTGCGGGTATAGAATAGGTTTTGACATTCACACGGGATAAGGGGTAGAGGGCATTGCCCCTCATTAAGGCCGATGCATGACCTAATCGCACTGCTGGGGATACAGTGATTTTCTTAACAAACAGAGAGGCCCCCAGTATTTTTAATCTGTAAGTACTGGCATCCCCAGCCATGAGAGAAAAGGCATCGCTAGCCCTGGTTAGCTTAATTCTTAAATCCACAGAGTTCAGGAGAAACCTCTCGCTGAAAAAAATGTCACCATGAAGAGGCCCAACAGGTGTACCTCCTTAGATTCTTCACTGAATTGAGCTCTCTGTACTAATCCTTTGTTTGGCCCATTGAGTCCATAGACCCCGCTGTGTCTTTGTAAAATAATCCAGCACTGAACTGGCTTTTCAACGTATCTTCAGAATAGTTGAGCAGGCAAACATTCCTCTCAGTTTTGATTGATTTTGATTCTTACCAAATCCCCCACATTAAATTTCATCTTTAATCCATTTTTGCGCCGAATAGAAAATGTGCCGTACAGGTTTTCAAACACTTTTCTGATGTCACCTGCATAGGCGTCATTTTTTATATTTTTATGATAGCTATTATTATAGCTTTCAAGCAATTCCTGTAAGACATCCAAGTATCTACGGGTGTTTGTAGCTGTAAAAAACCTCCACATTCGCGTTTTTATCGTACGGTTAAATCTTTCAACCACTGACGCTTTTAAGTCACTGGCCGTTGCAAAATGATTAATACCTTGTTTTGTCATTAAACTTTCAAAAGGGCTCCGGCTGTCTTTTAAAATAGACTCAAATGCCTTAGAGACCTCGAACCCTGTTTTTTTTCTTCAAGGGTCTAGCATATGCCCGTTTGAAAAAAACATCGATTACCGTTAATAAATAATTAAAGCCATCATTGTGTTCAGCCAAAGCCTGCATATCGTAAAGATCCGCCTGAAACTGGTTTAGGGGTCGTGGTACAAAAACTCTTTTTCTTACAAAATGTATCCTGGCAGGTTTATGCAGAGTATATGAATCCTGCTCAGATAAAAAATCTTTGACTTTTTCTACATTTACTTTCTTCCCCATTTCATCCTGTAACGCTCTATGGAGTCTGTCTACTCCGCCAAAACTAGCCGGATGTGATGGATTATAATACACTTTTTTCATAATTCGTTTTTTAAGACATGTTTCCTGCTGTTCTCTTCGAGGGTTTTTGAAAACAACGGGATACAAGAGTCTTTATGATTTTTTTTATTATTAGTTTTCACAAACATCATCCTCTCAACACAGTCAATGTTAATTTCAATACACTGCCTCCTACAATATGGTAAATATTATTATGCAATCTTCTCACTTCAGTCAAGGTAATTTCTTTTTTACACAATAACTCACAAAATCAACAATATATAACGTATTTTCTACAATAATTACCCATTATGAATTAATTACTCCCTTCCAAAAGTCCACAGCTTCATTCATCTCCTTGATCTTGGCCTCATCTTCTCCGATCAACATGTCGTACATTTTGTCAGTTTTCTCACCGATGCGTCGTGTCATTTTGAGGTTGTGAAGAAAGGCCTCGGTAGCACCATGGACCCTGTATACAAACACGTGGATGTTTCGCGAGTGAAGCGCCCGTTGAATGGTAGCAATGAAACGATCCGTCCAGAGCCGCTTTAACACCTCATCATAATGCCGCCGGAGAAAGTAGTCAGGCATGTCATGGCTCGGGTCTGTCCTACAGCCATTACAAATGTCACTTCTATATCTGTATAGAACTTTCTTCAGCAGTCGAAGCACCACAGTTTTCACTGTGTTCACAAACACGGCAGAGAGCACCCCGTCAGCTTCATCCGTTCTTCGGGGAGAGCCTGGTGGTGAGGCAAACACGGGTGGAACTTCCTGCTTGATTCTCACAGTTGTTTGAGTCTGCTTGTCTTTTGTAGCAGGTTCCTCGGACGTCGCGGTTTTGAGATTGTTTAAAACCAACAGTCAGCACAGCTCAGTCCGTTGATGTGAGCGTTGCTTTTGCTGTGAGGGGTCCAAATGTTTCACCTTTCTCCAACTGGT